CTCTACACGTAATGCATTGCCCTGTCCCAAATACTTTCCGAAGCCAACCACACAAAGTTCTCGAGCCTTCTTGGGAACTAGAGCCATCAGAGTTGATCTTAATCTAGCCCTCTATAGGGAATTTCCAGCCAATATTCACCTCAGTTCTAAGGAAGAAAGGTACTGCAAAAAATAAAATAAAAATATGATAAATCTTAGAAAAATGACTAGGTTTAGAATCCAAAGTTTAGGATTAAAATACTAAGTGTAGCTATTAGTGCTAATACAGTATGCGTAAACTTAAACTGGCTATAAATACAACTTTTGACTCAAAACCCTAGGCCATATCAGATTCTACGTGGGTCATTTCTAAGGTTTTGAGGCTGCCACCCTTTTCTTCCTCCATTCTCCACCAAAGACTCCATCTTTGCTTATAGAAACCTTCCTCAATCTTGGTATAAGCTTGTTGCACATATTGAGAGTGTGGAGAGTGCCTTCTTGAGAGCCTTTGGGACTGTGTTTTGTGCATACAAGGGGCTGGTTTCTTGGTTGGTGAAGAAGTCACTATTTCCTTGTTTGTGGGAGCTCCAAGTGGTGAGCTTGGTGAAGAAAGGACCCATCTTGTTGTCATTTTTGTGTTTCCCTAGTGGCAGATCTTTGGAGCTGACTATTGAGCTCCAAGAGCACTTGTGTTTGCTGTGTTGAGCCTTGGGTATGTTCTTGAACTTGTGATAATGAGTTTTCTTTGTTTAAAGGTTGAGTCTTGACATGTTAATAAGATGAACAAGTAACCAACGTGATAACTGACCTAAAGGAGGGTAAAAATGCATGCTTTAACGTGTATGAGTGTTAAAAGTGGGATCTTGAAAAGGATATCTCGCGAAATGCATAAACTGCATTCTGTCGCGGAATATCCAGATATTGATATCCGGATATGATATCCGAATATTGGGTCTGGAGATATCCGCATATGGATATCCGGATATGATATCCGGATACGGCCCCGACATATATCCGAATATTCTGGGAATTTCAAGACAGTAACTGTACTGTTCATACAGAATGATATTTTGGGTTTGTGGACCCATGATTGGCTAATGTGGACTTCTGTAATAATTAATCTAAGTCAGAATCAAAGGGATCAAGGGCTTATGGCTTTGTGAGAAGCCTAAAGACATGAAACATAAAATAAAGGCGTTGTCTTTATGCCATTTGCTTGTAGAGTATGTATATTGATATGATTATTAGTCCAAACAGATTGTGATTGTGCTGTGTGTGAACTTTGAGGGGGTGTGGACCTTGGATTGCATTGATTGCTTAGAGGTAAGCTTTCGTGTCCTTGGTTTAGCCATTGTTGGTTCCACCATACCCCATGGGGGAATGGTTTTATGCATGATGTGTTTTCATGTTTTGATGATTGAAGTGATTTTGAGCTGTTAACTGCAAGGGTCTTATAATAAGCATGTGTTGTTCCATCTAGACGGTAAGCCTGAGTATGTGGCGTCATACAATAAGGTGATTCTGTGGGTGGGTGCAAGTGGCGTCTTGCACTGATGTAGGTAATAGACGTATGTAAATCTTGCATTTCTCTGGCCAGTAGAATATCTTGACACACATAAAATAATTATCTGTTACATTGCACTGATTTTGGAACTGATATTGTATATTGCTTTTAGAACTTATATTGCACATGTAAGTGAGCTTGAGGTGGAAAAATCCTTGAGGACCTTTGCCTTACTGAGATTTCTGTTTAGAGATCTCACCCCACGTTTGGGGCACATATTTCAGGTTCAGGTAACTCGAGGGTTGAGACCTCGGGCAGCAGGAGACCGGAGCTGAGTTAGATATCTGTTGTTTTTGATTATGTGCTTGGGTGATGACATGCTTATATTTATTATCCTGTTATCTGTTGTGAGACTCTGTTAGGCTTTGTTGCCTTATTTGGTGAGCATGAGGTTGTCTATGCCACATTGATTGTTTATGTCTTATTTTAGTCTCGAGTTGTATTAATGTATCAGGATTCTGGTCCGGACTACGTGTTGTAGTACAGTGACTTAGATACTCACTTTTATTCATATATTGAGGTTATTCAGTGTATTTAGTGTTATTGCAATTTACATACATGCAATGTTTTATGAAAAAGAATTAAGTAATAACTTGGTAACATTAATGACGTCATAATTGAAAAGAAAAAGTTATTCCGCAATTTTAATTAAACGTAACTTAATATGATGACTTGTTAACAAATCAGGTATACACAGAGTGTTAGATTAAACATCTCATATGCGATGGCAATCTCTTCCACGAATTTCCTAATGTGAAACATGGTGTTGATGGGATCAGGGATGGTTCCATTAAAGACCTAGTTATTTTGATCTTGCCATATACTCCAACAAGCTACACCGAATATGACTCTCTTTTTATCACATAAAGGAGATTCACACTTCTTCTCTAGGTTCTCTAATAGCCATTCCATCCAAGGGAGATTGAAAATCTTTTTCCAAACCCTTCAGGCCCAGACACAATCTCTAGCATGTGAAAACAATCCTCATATTGATAATTACATCTAGGGCATTTTGATGTGTCACACATTCTTCTTCTCGCCTTTGATCATAGGCGAGGAGTTTGTTGTGCCTTGTCTTTATTTTTTTTTAATCATGCACGATATATTTTTTTATTCCCACGAATCCTTTCATTGATTTTACAAGTTGATTTTAAATACAAATATTGTGTTTTTAAGATCTGTATCTTAATTAGTGAGTATTAATTGTGGTCACCTGAATGAAATCAATCACGGTATAGTATGCAACTAGGGCTATACATGTACATGAGAGTGGATACCCTATAATTATAGTGTTACAAGGGAAATAATCTATTGTTCATATAAATGTGGGATCATTTGAATCGTGGGGATCTTCTAAAAAGTACCGCATGGAATTATCGTAAATGATTTTTCCTTAAACACTCTGATAATGTGGGACCATAAATATTAGGCCAGTTGATGGGCCGAATATCCTGGTCCAGAATAATAAGTTAATAGTAATGTTCAAAATTGGGTTTAACATTATTGGTTTTGAAGAGTCGATCAATCATGCTGTCAATTCTAATTGGACTACAGAACCGCTTGGGTAGTTGGATCACCGTCAGAATTGATAAAACCGCTAGACATTTTAGCAACACTGGCCCATTGTCTGTTTCGATTTTTTCTTTTGTAAAAAAATTGAATAAAAGAGAGAGAAATTTGAGGTGTTTGATGCATATTAAACAACAATACAAATTAAACAGTAAACACAAGTAATTGACAACCAAGGCACATGATTAAAATTTTCTATATATCCAATAAAACAAAATTTATCATAATATTATTCATATTATGCCTTGTTTTTACCCAATAGAGTTAAGACAATTCAAAAGGTTTTTAGCCTTTTTCTTTTGTTGTGTAAACAAGATTTTATAACTCATAATAAAATTTTGTACCGCTATTTTTTATATTTTAAAGAAATCAAGGCTAACCTTGCTTTTTACGTAGCTGTTGATGATTACTTTGTTCATATCTTCACGCAACCAGCTAGAACTTCTGTCCAGTTACTGGCATTGCACCCTCGACAGAGATTTCGTTGAACACAATGAACACACTCAAATTAATGGCTCAACCACTGATTAAATTAAACCATGAACCACTTGTCTTGCCATTCGACTAACTTTTAAAACATTGGTAAATAAAAGCATACATATCCCCCTTTTTTTTTCAGCCGTATTGCCTTCTTATAATTTTATTCTTCTTTTGGGCTTTGCCAAGTAAAAACTATAAACAAAATAAAACACTAAAAAACGGCGAAACTTTATGGTATTAATATATGTTGGGATTTACTAAAATTTTAAAAATCAATTTTTTTTTAAAAGTTAAAGCTCTTTTAAGATTTTAATTTTTAGTTATTTAAATACAAATGAATTGATCTAAATTCATACAATTTTTTTTCTTAGAAATTAGAAGGGCTAAATGGATACTATTTTTTTTTTAAAAAGAATCTACTATTACACATAGTTTTTAGGGCTTTTTCACCCTTTTGTCCCTTATTAATTAATTAATAACCATTTTGCCCCTGATTCGAAATTATTTATCAATCTGCCCCTCTTTAGTCGACTACCTTGAATTTTTAATCGACTAAATGGCCAAAACAGACAAAAAATAGCTGTTGGGAGATTTAGTCGACTAAATCTCCCTATTTAGTCGACTAAATCTCCATATTTGACAAAAAAGAAATAAGTCAGTATGATTTTAATCAATTAAGTAGGGAGATTTAGTCGATTAAATCTCCCAACAACCGTTTAGTCGATTAAAAATGCAATGTTGTCGATTAAAGAAGGGCAGATTAGTAGATAATTTCGAATCAGGGGCAAAATGATTATTAATTAGTTAATAAGGGGCAAAATGATGAAAAAGTCTAGTTTTTAGTTTTATTCCTCTCCGGCCTAAAGAAAAAAAAATATAACCCAAAAATTTAGGAAAAGATATTTATCTTCTTAAAAAGAATATAAAATTGTATTATTTCAAATAGAATACAATATTTAAGAAAAAATAAATTCTGATAAATAAAAAAATAGTTAATTAAATATTGAAAAAAATATTTATCCTTTTAAAGAATAATTATTTTATTTAAAATTATTATCTTTTGTTTTTATTTTTGTTACTATAAAATAAAATTAAAAAATATATAATTTTGTGTCATTTAAACAATAAACACTAATTGTTTAAATATTACAATAATAATATAATTTCCCAAGACACAATATAGTGTCTTTTGAACCACAATAATTTAAACAATTTTCCCTTAAATTTAGGGTAAAACACTTCTTCTCTCACATAAGAACACATTTTTTTGCAGGCCATAGACTCATAACAATTTATATCATATTAATTTTACTTTATTTTTTAAAAAATATGATGAATTCCACATTTGTTTATCTATGCTCCAAAGCCCTTAAATTTATTAAAAAAAAAAAAAATCCCTAGCGTCACGAACCGAATATTCGTTTGTGAAATTAGGGTTAGGGTTTGAATATTCATCTGCGGCCAAGCCATATATAAATTCCCTTTACTAGCACTTTGATTCTTCGGTATATCTTACGCTTTCCCACAGATACAGTCACTGAACTGAAACATCAACAGAGAAGAGAGCAAGATGGCAGAGCAGACCTTTATCATGATCAAGCCTGATGGTGTTCAAAGAGGCCTCGTGTGTTTTCTTCTTCATACGCTTTTTTTTATTCTCTATTATTCGTTAAATTTGAACTGTGTTTGTAGGATTTATTCATAAATTTCAAGATAATTCTCGGGATCTGGAGTTTTTGTGGAAATTTCCAAGCAAAGTTTTTTTTTTTTTTCTTTTTTCGTTTTCTGGGTTTAATAGTGAACTTTTTTTGGGTCTAATCTGAAATGGGATCTCGGAATGTTATTGTTTTGAATTGATAAGTTTGCTAATTTTGGCTTTTCAGAAAATGGGTCGATGACTTTTTTGTGGGTGTGAGTGTTTTTGAGTTGGGAATTTGACTACAGCTATGACTGCTTATGTTGATGTTTTGAATTTGAAGGTTCATGCATCTGTTACTCTGAAGGTTTAATAATATTTGACAGAAAAGTGTTTATGTTTCAGATTGGTGAGATTATTAGCAGATTTGAGAAGAAGGGTTTCTACTTGAAAGGTAATCTTTGGTTAATAGCATACTGAATTTTGGTTGTGAGATCATGCTAGCCAAAACTTGTTTGTTTTTCCATGATTAAGGTAAAAAAAAAAAAGTAAACTCCTATTTTAGGGTGTGATTGTCCTTCTTCTAAACCTCAGATACTTGATGAAATCTTAGCCTGGATGTTTGAAAGTTGATTCTATTGAAATATATAACATGATTATCCATCCAAATATTGGTTTTACATTGTAATTTCATTTTTTTTTCTTTTGACATCAATTTTATATATATGGACACAAGTTGTGGTCAGTTTTTTAATTTTGGAATTGTTATTAATATCGTTTGGTTTGACTTGATATTAGGTTTGAAGCTCATTACTGTGGACCGTCCTTTTGCTGAGAAGCACTACTCAGACTTGTCTGCAAAGCCTTTCTTTAATGGATTGGTGGATTACATTATATCTGGCCCTGTTGTTGCCATGGTTTGGGAGGGTAAGAATGTTGTGACAACTGGCCGAAAGATAATCGGAGCCACAAACCCAGCTCAATCTGAGCCTGGAACTATTCGTGGTGACTTTGCTATTGACATTGGAAGGTATAGAATTGTTCTCATCATAATGGCAGTCTTCAAGTTTAAATCATCTGTTTTAATCACATGAATATTAATATGTTATCATTGTTCTTATTTTTACATTTTAGCTATGTGAATTTTAGGTTAGTAATGTGACAATCCTTTTTCTGTGTTTGATAATTCAATTTCTCTATACCTTTGTTCTTACATTGGGTTTCGGAAACCCTGTATTTATTGCAATATGTTCAAGAAATCATCAATTAAAGGAGAGCTTTTAACCTTGTGCTTTATTCTTGAGGAAAATTACATTTGAGCTTTGAGGCTATATTCTTACATGTGCTTTACATGGTAAAGTGCAAGTGAGAAAATTAAATCAAGGGAGTGTATTTTGAAAATCCGTGTTTTGTTATCTATGTTATTGTATTTTATCGAAATCTTAACCGTTTTTTATTATATAGTCAATGATTATCAATCCTTTACTCTCTAAAGTGAAGATCTAGACCATCATTTGAATTGTGTTATTACTTCAATTTTGAAGAGAACTTTGAATTTTGTAATATGAACTTGTTTTTGAAGTTTATGGTATGGCATGTAATCAAGTCATTTTTGTGCAGGAATGTTATCCATGGAAGTGATGCTGTTGAAAGTGCCAACAAGGAAATTGCATTGTGGTTCCCTGAGGGCCCTGCTCAATGGCAAAGCTGCCTCCACTCATGGATCTATGAGTAAGATATAAGCCTCAGGTTGATCGTTGAGTTGGCGTCAGTTGATCCGGAGTTTCTACATTTTCTGTTTATCTATATTGCTGGAACTTTTGTTGGTGTTTGGTACCTTGTTTTGTATGTCAAGTTTAGTTACTTAATTTATGTGGAAACATGTTTACAGTGTGATAAATCAAATCCCAAACTAGTTTGTTTTCCCTCATTGTTCATTGATGCTTTTGCTTATGAAACCATTGATGAGGTTGCAGTTAATTCTACTCTTTCCTTCTCATCTTAAGTACTTAGTCTTAATTAGAACTTGATAGTGTTATTAAAACTTCACTGTTGCAATGTTTTATTGTATTGCGATATATCGATTTAAAAACAAAGGCAATATTCTTTATAAATTCTCCACTATATTTATAAAATTTTACGACAATCCTTTCAGCTATGTTTTTAATACCATCAATGAAAGTATTGTTTTTTGAACATGGAAAAAAACAAGTTCAAGATAGTAATATCATAAAATGGTAACGAGAATTTACAAATTTCTCTTTTTCACTTTTCTACCAAACGACAATATTTGTAATTTTATTTTTTAATGGGAGATTCATAAAAGTTGGTATGTGAGAACACTTTCAAATATCAATAAGTAAAATTTCATCTTATAAAGTATTAAATACAAGTTGGTACGGGAGACTCAACATAGGCAAGCCAATTGAAGTGAAATGCTTCTTACGTAGATGGCGCACACAAGCATTGGATTGCATATCGCCGAACACTAAATTAGATGATATTATTATGCTACACGATAATTATTTTACAGAAAAAGTATATATCTTTTTAAAAGATATAAAGTTATATTCTTTTAAGAAAGAAAACGATATAAGATTAGTGGAGTTTTTTTATTTTGCTCTCCGGCATAATTTATTTTCCTCTGTTAAAAGAATAATCTTATTAACTACAAATCGGGCAAATACAATGGCAGCTGTTTATTGTATGTAATTTTTCGTGTAAGCGAGATTACCGTTACCATGAGTGAGACCACCCTGCTAAGACTCAGGTTCTAGGACTGATATCTATTGTGAAAGTGGCGTATGAGGGGGCATGTAACTGGCTGAAATTATTTTAATAAATAAAAAAAATATGAATTTGTTATTATTTTATTTATTTGGAAAATTTTAATATCATAAAATATGAATTTTTTAGAAGCTTTTATCATGCAAAAAGTGCTGGCATGGCACCGGGAGGTGCAAAGCCTTAATCCTGTCACAATCTAAATTGGCAGGGAAATCATAGGCAACAATCTTTCTTTTTCGGTTTTTTTTTTTTTTTTTTAAAAAATTGTTTCATTATTTTGTTTAATTAAATTAAGGCTGATGAATTATTTGGATTGGGCTCATCGCTTTAACCAAGGAAAATGGGCTGAGTCATTCTCTTCTTCCTTTTTAAATCTTTTATTTATTAATTAATTAATTTTGATTATTATTAATACTATATATATATATATATATATATATATATATATATATAATTAGCTGTTCAATAGGTGTATTAGATTTCTTGTGATAAAATGAAGGACAGGAAGAGAAAATTTGATAAAGAGAGAAAGACAATATTCTGGAACTCAGCCATTGCATTGCATACATGAAAATGAAGTCAAGTTACTGAAATTATAAGCTACTAAGATACAAATACTAAACTAAGTTGATTACTCAGCATAACAAAACCTAAAAAGAAAGTGGTTACACAAAATGCACAGCTTAAGGTTCACAATCAAGTCATCCCAAGACTACGATAACTAATGGACACAACAATTAAAGAAGTTACCGTGGATAACTAAAGTCTTTAATGAAGGTAAATTTCTAATTCCCTAATACTCCCCCGAGAACATGAGTGAAAATGAATTCATTGACTATTACTTTCTCTGACAAAATGAATATTTAGCTCCAAATGCTTAGTGCTAACATGCCGAACTAGATTATCACAAAACACATGGGGAGTGAGTCGTGGCATTTGTAATTCACAAAAAAAGGGACTTGATCCATAAAATTTCAGCATAAGTAAGAGCCAAACTCCGGTATTTAGCTTAAAAAATGGATCTCGCAACCAAGGTTGTTTCTTGAACCATCGAGATACCACATTGGGACCCATAAATATGCAAGAACAAGATATGGACCTACGGTCATCTTGGCCATTTGCCTAATCCGCATCACAAAAGGCTATAAGAGAGAGAACTTGATTTGGATTGACAGCACACAGAGATAGACCAAAGGTGATGGTTCCTTGAAGATACCTTAATATACACTTGACACATTTCAATGATCATCTAAGGGCTAGCTCATAAACTGGCAGGCTTTGTTAACTCCAAAATTGATTTCAGACCTTGTGATTGTTGCATTTGGACTGCTCCAACAATGGAGCGATAGAGATGAGGGTCAGAGAAGTAATTGAAGCCAAACTTTGACAATTTACAATTAGAAGACATTGGAGTTGAAATGGACTTTGCTTCATGCATTTCAGCCTTGGCGAGAAGATCTCTGTTTCACTTCGAACCCAAGAAAATAATCAAGTTTCCTAAGGTCTTTAAGTGCAAAGGCAGAATTGGGTTGAGAGATCAAGTGTTTTATAAGAGAAAAGTCATTGCCAGTAACAATGAAATCATCTACATAAACCAAAATTGAGATACATTTAACATCAATGTTATAAATGAATAAAGAAGGATCACATGAATTGGACTTTAATCCGAGGGACATCAAGGATCGTTTGAGCTTGTCAAACCAAGCCCTTGGGACTTGTTTTAGTCCATTAAGTGATTTATGCAAATGGCAGACCAAAGACTCATTTTCGAACTCAAAATTAGGAGGTTGTTGCATGTAAACTTCCTCCTCTAGATCCCCATTTAAGAAGCCATTGTTGATGTCCAACTACCAAAGGAGAGAATGTTTTATTATAATCAAAGCCTTCTCTCTAATGAAATCCCTTAACCACCAGCTGAGCCCTATACTTGTTAATGATTCCATCTGGATTTTCCTTGACCTTAAACACTCATTTGCAGCCTATAACCTTCCTTCTAAAAGGCAAAGGGTGAAGGGCCCCAGAGATCACTATACACCAGTTCAAAAAGAACATTGTAAGCTATTTGTAAGGGCAAAGAATGTAAGCGATAACCACACAACAGGAAGTTTTACAAGTCTTCAGCCATTTCAATATTAAAAGAGACATTACAACTTTTGAGAACACTTTTAAGTGATCATTTTGTGTGTTCACATTTCTCTGTTCAGCTCTGTTTTTCTAAGCATGAAACAAAGGCTCATCATCTTTGTATCTGTTTTGCTTATGCATGTTATTCGTACGTTGTGTGAGGTTAACTGTAATAGTTTTAGAGAGAATAGACTCACTTGCTTAATCAGTCGTTGCTCATGAGCCATAAGCTCAATTCCAAGATCTGCAACTAAGTAAGGACGTTCTCGTCCTTGAACCAGCATGATGAATGTGTTGAACTATGGTAAACCTTCAATGTGTTCCTCAACTGAGTCTGGATTTCCTATGGCTTTCAAAGAGTCTCACAGTGTCTTTGTTTCAGCTCAGTACTCTTTTATGGATTTTGACCTTTCCTTCATGGATCTCAACTTAGATATGAGTTGTTTGGCTCTTGATTTCATCAAGGCATGAAACAATTTGTGCATATTCTCCCAAGCGTCAAACACATGTTTCATCGGTAAGATGTCCTTTACGATCTACTTTGAAACGGTGGAAAGGAGCCAAGTCAGGAGTATTTGATCTTGAGTGAGCTATTCTATGTAAGCGGGACTTGAGGTATCATTTGCTTTATCTTTATCAAAGTTGAACTTGAGAGGAATCTTAAGATTTACTAGAAATTTTAGGAGTTGATGCGTGGTGATTATTGGCTTAATAATCTAGTTCCAAAAGAGGTAGTTGTCCTCTGTGAGCTTGGCTGAGATTTGAAAGTTGAAGAGAGAGGTTGGAGCTTTTCCTTCCATGAGTGATTCTCTATTGTTAGATCACGACAAATCTTTGTTGTTAGATCTAGAAGAATCTTATGCATTTGCGTTAAAAGCGAAAGACATGGACAACTCTACGGTTCAGGCCCCTCATGAAGAGGGCTCTAATACCATGTTAGATTTATTGTGAGAAAATGAAGAAAAGGAAGAGAAGATCTGAGAGAGAGAGAGAAGGAGAATATTCTAGAACTTAACCATTGCATTGCATGCATGAAAATGAAGTCAAGCTATTGAAATCAGAAGCCACTAAGATACAAACACTAGTCTAAGCTGATGACTCAGCATAACAAAACCTAAAAAGAAAGTGATTACACAAAATGTACAGCTTAAGGGTGTAAAGAATCAATTCAACCCAAAAGCTTAAGCTGTTGGGTGAGGCTACATTAATGATTTTATATATCTCAATACGCCCCCTCACACGAGAGCCCACTGGGCTTGAAGGGTGGACAATGCACAGACCCACCTACCTGTGCGAACAAAGAAATTTCACTTGAAAGAAAGTGGGGGGCGACGAGGATCAAACCCGGGACACGAAGCTCTGATACCATGTAAAGAACCAATTCAACCCAAAAGCTTAAGCTGTTGGGTGAGGCTACATTAATGATTTTATATATCTCGTCATAATCAAGTGATCGCAAGACTATGATAACTAATGTACACAACAATTAAAATGGTTACGTTGGATAATTAAAGTATTTATTGAAGGTAAATTCCGAATCCACGGGCAAAACTTACCCTTCAAATACCTATTATAACCAATTAAAGATCTCATCTCAACTTTAAAACATATCAAGTAGGTGTTTTGTTTATACTAAATTGTTTTCATATGTCAAGTACGATATTTATGTCTTTCAAGACATTTTTAATAAAAAATAACAAAAGCTCGACCCCTGTATTGGTTAATGATAAAAATTGTAGATCCTCACTTAATACCTTACCCATGCATAAATCAAGTAATTTAGACGAGTTGTCGAATAGAGCATCCCAAGATAATAAAAGGGAATAGACGTGTTACAGTCAGTTATAACTATATTATCAACTCCACAAAGATAAATTCGAGTGCTACCACAATTATGCCAAAAGGAAATTTTATTTACAAATAAATATGCAGCATTGATTCTATTACTCAAATATGAAGTATATTAACTCCTTTATAAACAAGGTCAGGAAGATGCAATCAATCTAAATACATTACTGCAAGCTGCACTTGCCCATTAATGGATCGCACGGAAATATCCAGGCAAAGTGGCAAACCACAAATCATTAAAATCTAATACCAAGAACATTTACATTTCAGACTCCTGGCAGCATCTCTGCCAGCAATATCATCCATCAAATAGATTAAAAGCTTAAGTATTGCACCTCAAACCTTGTTGACATCACGTTTAAGGCTTTAAGCTCACATCATCTCACAAGTTTTAGTTCAGTCATGCCGAAATGTTATCAGATGCTGAATTGACAGCAGTGAAAATTATAATAGGAGCATCACATGGTGTACAAAAGTCTTTCAGCTAAAATTAGGAGACTGACAGGTTTTTGGGACTGATATCTATCGTGAAAGTAGTTTGTATGAGGGTAAATCTTCAAGCCGCGCTATGTCTTCAAGGAGAAGTTCTTTCTCCAGCTGACGTCGTGTGGATTTCATCACTGCCTGTAGGAACATAAAGTAATAGGTATATAAGCAAAGACAGTTACTAGCATTCTAAAGCAGGGAAGTAAAGTTCAGCTGCTAAGAAACAAGATCAGGATCAACTCAAAAAAAATCTCTTAATTTAAATAATGATACGGATTATTTCCCCCAGATCATATTTTGTTAAAAAAAAGGACCATGACAGTCACCCAATAAAGTGGCCATGCAGAGCACTTACTCTTTGCTCAAAATTATGAAATCATTTTAGTCTTTAATTCCAAGATATCTTCCCTCCATATCAAGGGATGCATAAGTATTTATTGATTTCCTATTCTTGCATGCTTTCTTCTTCCACCCTTCCTTCTTAACAAACTACTACACAAGTTAAATTTACTTGTGCCGTAACCTTCTCCTATTTCTACAGAACGCTCTGAGAGATTAAAGAATACTTACATTAAAATCCATGTATGAGGCACGCATAGAAAGCCATTGATTGTCCATCAGCTTAAAAGTTATGCAATAAAGAAGATCAAAAGCTGATTCATTTTCTGTCAGATAAACAAGAATGGATTTAGTTACTTAAAACAGAAAGCTAGGACAAAATGAAGACTGCAACTTGCAAGTAAAAGCTATAATCTTGTGAATAAAAGTTTTTCATTATGACTAAGTTCCAACCTTCCCTGATTCACCTTCCAAATTCAAAAAACAAAAATAAACAGATCAAAAGGCAGGGGGCAGTTCAGGCTACCTGCAATAAGTTTTAGGAAAGTTGCTCCCACAAGTGTGCGTGGCTTGACTGTAAAGGTAAAGCACATTATTATTAGATAACTGTTGCTGATCCAGATACTGAATCAAGTTATTACAATATGGCACCATCAATGATCCAGATGGTGATAAATATTGACCTTTGTTATACCAATTTATGTAGAAATAAATGGCAAATAAGCATGTCAGCATATAAAATTGAAAGAGCACCTTAAATTTAAAGTAGTTTCACCTTGGTGGTGCTCTATGAAATTGACATAACGCAATTCAGTAATAAAAGAGCCCATAGATATAGGCAGCAACCCAATTCTTCATTTTGTGCATGATAAATACTGAGGATAAAAAAAGTTAAAATAACAAGAGAAGTAACAAACCTGCTTCAAGATCGAGCATCTGAATCAGCATGAATGTGATGTTAACACCAGCAACAGCAAATGGGTATTCCCACACTGATCGATCTCCTTCCTGCTTCCGTAAAAGATCCTGGAATGATTTCTACAAAATAAAGAAGTTTTAAGTTTTATGATAGAGAGACATGCATGGCAACAATTGATTAAATTTAAGGTTGACCAGAAAATTTTAGTAGTTCTTGGGGATCAAACCAATACTTGATTAAAAAGACAAACCAATGGTGTAACAAGGGTCTCAATGAGAAGAAGGTAGAAAACGAATTTAAAATGGTTAGCCACGACGGTAAATTAAGGATGGACTGAAGGAATCAGGAGGTTTAAATACATGTCCTTTTGGAACCTTTGAAGTTGTTTTTCTGATGAAGATTAAGAGAGTTATTTTGCGTTTACTTAAGCTTTATATTTTTCATTTTTGGCAGATGTGGAGGAAGTGTTCAAGGAGTGTTTGGGGGCAGCTGTTGTATCTTCCTTTCCTGTTTTCTCTTTTGATTGCGTTTCTTGTAGAGCTTTTTCTTTTTGCTTTCTTTCAATTTTGTTTTTTCTTTCAGAGGATATCTTAGCCCCTCGTATCTTCATTTCCAATCTGATAATATTTCTTTTCTATCCAAAAAAACAAAAAACGAATCTACCTAAGCCCTGGGGCTGGAAGATTACAAGCATATGTCAGGTGCACATCAAGGGCTAAAAAAAAAACAAAATAAACAACTGTTCATTATAATGAAAAATGCAGCATACACTTTAGCAGTGAAAGAGTAAAAATATGCAAGGAAGCTAGGGATGGAAGCACACAAACAGAACACACCTTAATTTTTAAAACTACCAGTAAAACAAGAATTTCAACTTTTAAGGTATATTATAACAATTTATATAGTTCACATTGGTCCTGTGGGCCCAGGATTTGAGCTTCCTACAAATGGTGAATAATGAAGAAAAGTTTACCACTAAGTTGCATGACATCATATTTTAGATGACATTAATGGAGCAGGTGTAATTTGACAGTACCACTATCGAGAAAAACAAGATCAATTAATTAAACATCATTCTCGTTTATAATGTTAATAAGCAATATAACTTGCTAGACTCTCTCTCTGAAAGAAAAAGCAAGAGAATATACTAATATGGCCACAATTCATCTAACAAGGAGGAACTTCAAACACAAGAATTTTCTTCAGATCTGCATGGACATTTAGCTAAATTATTGACAATACTTTATTTCCTTCATCACAATTTACAGTTTGACTGAAATAATAACCCCTCGATTTCAAATAAATGACATTAAATATGGATGAACTCATTCTTCAAAACAATCCAAACCCAACAACAACACTACATCTACAGAAGTCACTTTTAATATTAGAAACGAAATGGCCTCTCTTTTTGGAAGAACTACTAATATAATTGCCTTGTTACTTTCTCCAGCTGTTCAGATGAGCTGTCATTCATAACATAGGGATTTCCATCATAAACTTTGATTTTGGTCAACCAAGTACTCTATTTATTACAATATCAGACAGAAAAAAGAGTGAACAAAACCAATGAACAAATCATACCGGGAAATTCCTAGCAAAGAACAGAAAATTTTCCAATGATATAAAACCACCACCCCTGCCAAATTATATACAAATAGAAATCATTAGCAACAATTAGTTAGAATAAACACAAGATCTGGCAGTGAATAAAAATAAAAATGAGGACAGTATCAACCTAAAATCTGTTGATGGATCCTTCCCTTGCCAACCCATTTCCTTCCACTGCTCAGATATCAAGCCATGGAGTTTTTCTTCAGGAAATGAAGCATTCCATAAAGCCCTAAGGGCATCCTAAAATATGTAAATTACAGTCTTAAGAGATTGAAGATTGCACATAAAGTAATAACCCATGAGAAGCGCAAAAATCTATGAATACATAGGTTGAAGTCTTCCATGTACGTCATAAAAAATATTACCTGGTGCTCAATTATAGAACTATCGTATGGAACATCTATACGACTCTGTAGCCTCTGCAAGCATTCCTCCTAAGAATTGGATATTCAACATTATGGGAATTTGTTGTAGCATAATTATAAACAACAATGTTCAATAGAAAAAATATGTAGAAACTGCTTCAGAACTTCAGGGCATAGAGGGAGCTCAAGTATCTTGCCAGCCACCACTAAACAGAACTGCTGATTAGCTATTGGAGGTCAAGATTCCCTCCAACAACTATATTTTCTGGCACCCCCTAACCATATACAGGATATGGAGAACAAACAAGAAAAAGAGCACATAACCAGAAAGACAATTGAACCCTAGTTTTGTTATTTGGTAAGACAGATCTTTCCATACAAATCTAAAATGCAAAATGTTGCTATTGCATACAGTTTAGAAGATGATTGTTGTATTTAAAAAAATTGAAGCATCCTTACTTCATCACACATGCTCTAAAATAAAATTTCCTTTTTCTTTTAGTTTTTGCAGGAAAGTGCCTACAGGGTAATTAACAGAAATGCTTAAACAGAAGCCGAGTATTGTGTTTCAGTAATTATACAAAAATTACCTGGGCTGGAGTTAAATCAAAAAAGCTAGAAGCATCACTATCTCTTCTCTGTGCACAGACACAAGACAGCCCTCTACCAAGCCATGCTGCTGATCCAGCCACAGCCTCAGCTGTAACAAAACAAAATTGCCCATCAAGGAAGACTCGACCCACTTTTATGCTACAAATTTCATCTTAAGTTGAAGGACAAACAAGCTGTATTTCAATTTTATTCATCCTCAGCACATGATCGTTTTTGTTCAGTTCAATTTTTACCGTAAAATCATAACCATGCAGCTCATTTGAACCACAATGGCATAAGAAACACATGGTTTGTCTCTTGTATTTCCTTTATATCAATGTATCACTATAAAAGTATTTTCATTGCATGAATTTAACATTTTCTTGCCAAATCTGATATGGAGGAAAAAGGACATAGCCAAATAACAAAATACAACTGCAAGGGGGGGACAAACTGGAATGGACAGCAAGCATATAATAATATGAAGAAAGTGAATGGTAATAAATGCTGTAAGTGGAAGAAGAATGTTAAATCTATATGCAGCAGCATTATATTTTTTATCTTAACAGTTTGCATAATTTACAATTTATTAATCAAATCCTCATAAAGGTAACTGGAATGCATCAAAATAAAAGAATAATATTAACTAAATTATGTAAAATTGGCCCAATCCATCTCCCCAGAATCCAACCCTTTCAGGGAGGCATAAGAAATTCTATTTCCACGCAAAAGACACAAACTGCCAATCATCCTTTAACAATTAGCAAGTAATTTGTCTGTGTTCCAAATCATTGCAAACTTAGGCTATACCTGGATGTAAATCCACATTCCACACCATCCCTCAAACATAGAAACATACATGATTAAGAGGGAGAGGGGGGGTACACTGAGCCAACGCAACATCGCTTAATCATAGAAAACTTCTACGTTGCTATAATTAGAATTTTCCACTATCAAAGCACTTCATCAGTACAGCTATGAATACCAGTTTCACACTTTCACCTACAACAGATGAAGAGTATTTGACAAGATATGAAAGTAGAGGTGCATTTCATGAACGCTAGATCTATGGGAAAAAATCCCCCATCATAAATCAAGCACTGGAAATAGAATTAATACTCAATTGAACGCTCTAAAATGATCAAACGTGGATGCCAGAAAGTAGCATCTTCCATAGCGAAACCTTCCACACCTCTCAATCAAACAAGAGCAAAAGAAAGAGAGAGTCTAATTTGTGTCGGAAAATTATACAAAATAATTTGCTACTTATATTAAAAATAAAAAAAATACTGTATTGAAAAGCAGTTGGTGTACAAATGAATTTACCCACCAACGCAAGTTAGAATATCAGCAAACATCACGCAACATTAAAAAAATAAAACTCGGGTTATGATCATCCTATTATATAACATGGTTCGATCTCGGTTCGCAGATCTGTGCTTCATAATATATATATATATATATATATATATATATATATATATATAGAGAGAGAGAGAGAGAGAGAGAGAAAAAAGTATACAAAAAAAAGGTACTACTGGTACAACAACTTTGTGAAAGTGAAATAAAAACGATAGAGAAAAAAATAAAAAAGAGAGAGCAGGAGCGAAAATAACGAAAAAATAAATAAATAAACGAGAAAATTCGACATATTCATTTTATTTTATTTCTTGAAATTTTTACCAGAATTTGAATGGCAGGTTTCTCCTTGCGGAATCCTCCTAACAGCGACGAATGAGCCACCTCTATCATCCATTTTTTCTTTTTTTTTCTTCTTTTTTATTTCTACTACTACAACACTATAATCACCCTAGAATCTCTCATTTTCCCGGAAAATCTTCCCCTGGACAATCCGAAGAAACTGAAAAACGCCAATCAATGATGCGTAAACCAGATCAAAACTACAACCTCAAATGCCGCCGAACCGGATCAAATCCGAGCAAGAAATGGCTTGATGGCATCAGAAAGATAACGTAATCGAACTGAATCGGATTGAAGACTTTCTCGGGAAACAAACAATGAAAAAGAGTAAGAATCTGAAACGAAGTGTGAAGAGATTTGGGGGGGAAAGGAGGATTTTAGGATTAGGGTTATAGAGATCTAAGAGTAGAAATGGAAGGAACACAACTACAATGACAGTTACAGGGAGGAGCTGTGACTGTGTGTCTCTTACACAAAGGGGGGTGCGTGGGTTTTTTTGGAAATGGATCCATTTAAAAATGACGATGTCACGTGTCACCTGAGAGATCTTAATTATTAATAATCAAATAATGTGATAATGATGTAATTTTTTATTCTTATATTTTTTTTTCTCTTTTTTTATTATTATTGAGATAGGTTATTGTGTCTACTCTCATTTTGTCTACCTTTATCTACCCCTCTCAACATCATTGGATTAGAATCTCATCTAACGGTTCAGATTCAAAAGATAAATAAAACCATTTTACTCTTTTTTCTCTCTCTCTAACTTCACTCTTTCTCTCTCTAACTCCACCATTTCTCTCTCCTCACTTGTGTGCGATGAAGAGGCTTTTTGACCTTAGTAGTGTCATTTTCGTAAAGTTTTACCGGAATAATTTCTTGGTCAAACATATTACCTATATAATGCATAAAGACGCGATACTGTGGGAATCACTTTAGGACGTGACACTTTAGCAACCGCGTCCTTTGCATTTGTTCTTGACCACTGGAACGTGATACTCTGGCAATCACGTCCTATTCCCAAGACCACTGGAACGTGATACCCTGGCAATCACATCTTATTCCCAAGACGCGGTACACTCTCAGCCACATGTCAGTGGGTCCCATCCCAAAAAGAATTCAACAAGAAGCGGTAGTGTATAAGCCGCGTTCCAGGTTACAAGTCAAGTCAAAGCCAAACAGATATATGTGTTTCACCTAAAATTTAGGCATATTGATATATTCATTGTAAAAGAGTACATAAAATCTAATAAATTCAATAATACCCAATCTTATACCCCTGTTTCGTGTTTGGTCTGCTTTCCCGATTTTCAATATGTGAAAGAAACAATTTAATCCAAATTTTTTAATGATTTATATTAAGGTAAAAAAAAAATAGAATCTATGCAAATTCATACTTCAAGCCCAAAGGGCTTTTGTATGAGTGAGTGTGTAAGTGAATAATATAAACTATTATAAAGACCTTCATCCAACACCTTAAAATTATAATTATTATAATTTTATTGTTAGTAAATTTCTAAATTAATTATTCTCTGGTTTAAGAGTTAGTCTTCTAACCAGTAAAGAATAAATTGCTAGCAACTATAAAAACCATTTTGTACGAAAATGACTTGTCGCTTTTATTGAATTTTTTGAACTCTTTTACCGTGAATATATCAATATGTCTAAATTTTAGGTGAAATATATATATATCTGCTTGACTCCGACTTGACTTGTAACCTGGAACGCGGCTTATACACTACCGCTTCCCGTTGAATTCTTTTTGGGATGGGACCCACTGACATGTGGCTGAGAGGGTACCGCGTCTTGGGAATAGGACGTGATTGCCAGGGTATCACGTTCCAGGTCTTGGGAATAGGACGTGATTGCCAGGGTATCACGTTCCAGTGGTCAGGAACAAATGCAAAGGACGCGGTTGCTAAAGTGTCACGTCCTAAAGTGATTCTCACAATACCGCGTCGTTATGCATTATATAGGTAATATGTTTGACCAAGAAATTATTCCGGCAAAACCTTATGAAAATGACACTACTAAGGTCAAAAAGCCCGATGAAGAAGACGTCCAAGTCTACATTTTACGATTACGAAAATATTCATCCTTTGTCCATGCACTTGTACTCTGAGAAGGGCTGAATTGGAAAAGAACAAGTTAATTGGAGTATATAAATTAAAGTGATAGAATTTGCCAGAGCATGTTAGGGTTCATGTAGCACGTTCCGTCTCAGAATGAAATTGATAACTTTGTCCTTTTCCCATCTTAGGGTGGTTTCTGTATATATAGATTTTTGATTTTGTTGCCTTTTTACGACGGTGTTGCTTGTCGATGACTGATCCCATCTTTGTGCAGAATATGGGCCTCGCTGAAACCTAAACCAACAGAGATGGGAAAGGGCTTTTTGATTCCATTAAATAGACTCTCCCTCTCTCATTCCAAATGTGATCTAACAAACGTAGTGTTAAACGATTCGATCTGGTTTTATTTACCTTTGTTTCAACCCAAACAACCCTAATTATTCAACGCCCTAAATTATGGCTTATTTTCTTCTAAGGGTAACAAAAGCAGAGTACTATAGAAATTTATATTTTCTTCTTCTTTTCTTCGAGGATGATAATATTGGATACTCAATTCTGAGTTTATGCACGAATACTGTGGTGTTTGCAGCTTTCGAATCTTTAATAATATTTGTCATTCCTGTTTTTTTAACAAAGAAAAAGATGATGTCATATTATTTGTTCTTGCTTGCATCGTAGTTCTTTTTAATATTTTGGTTTCTTTTTTCTTTTTAATCTGTGGATGTTAAGGCATGAATTCTACCATCGATTTTGTTTCTTAGCAACGTATCTGGTTTCCAGTGGGAGAGATATTTGCAAGTACGTTTTCTTCATCGCAAGCAAGGGAGGAGAGAATAAGGGTGGAGTCAGAGAGAGGGGGAAGAAGAGTGAAGTTAGAGAGAGAGAAAAAGAGTAAAAGGGTTTTATTTAACTTTTGAATCTGAACCGTTAGATGAGATTGTAATCCAACGATGTTGAGAGGGGTAGGTAAAGGTAGGCAAAATGGGAGTAGGCACAATAATCTATCCCATTATTATTAACTCACCCATGTATAGTTATAATTGTGCCATATGAAATGGTCATGTTAATTAGCACATACGAGGATTCACTTCCGGGTTTTAAAAAATATATATATATATTTTGTGGAATTGTTTTTACAATTATTTTATGAAGAAATAAGTAGAATAGATATGAAAAAATGAATGGATGATATTTTATCTCTTATTTTATAAAATAAAAAAATATTAAAGAAAAAACTTGTTTTCTTTATTTTAATTTGAAAGGTGAAGATATTCCAGTGTGATGGTGGCGATGACAATAATTGTGAAAATTGTAACGACTAAAACGGCTCTAATAACAATAGTAGTTTGAAGAAAAAAAAAAGGGTTTGTTTTTTCTAAAGTTACTTTAGATAACTTTATCTAATGTTCATCGAAACGACGTCGTTTTGGGGCGAAAATCATGGTATTTTTGTAATTTTAATTTATTTCAGGTTTATAATAGTCTTTATCATTCTAATTTTTTAATTTTTCAACCCCAAAACGACGTCGTTTTGATGAACATTAGACAAAGTTATCTAAAGTAACATTAGATACTTTTTTCCCAAAAATAAATAAAGAATTCATGAAAAACAAAGTAATTAAGTTGAAAAACAAAGTAATTCCTTTATTTATTGAGGACGAAATCCACCGGCACAAAATAAAAAGTGAGCTCCATCTTATTTTTTTCTCTTTTTTCTTTATGATTTCTTTCTCTCAAATATTTTGTGTTGAAGCAGAAACCGGCAAACATTATTTGCCCTTCCTATAAAGGAAAATGATATTGTAACAATCAAGTTGTGTCACTACCATATTATTACCAATCACCAATTATCTCACCGTTAGATCGATTATGTGAATTCAACAATTATATTTATTTTTATTTTTATATGGTCATGATTTTCCATATTTAAAGTGAAAGCATTAAATATGAGAAATCATAACCATACAAAGGTGAAAATAAATATAAAGTATTAAATATGAGAAATCATGACCATACAAAGATGGAAATAAATATAACTGTTGGATCAACATAATCGATCTATCGGTGAGATTAATTGGTAATAACTTGTAGTAACACAACTTGGTTGTTACAATATCATTCTCCTTATATAAATGAAAACTATTACTCTCCTTCTACATAAAATAATTTGGTTTATGCTCTCTTACTTCAATTTTTATATCTCATCTTTTTTCTTTTTTCTTTTTTGTAATGATAAAATCCACTTATTTTCTCTCTACAACATAAAATAAAATACATATCAAGGAAAGTAATAAAGCCCTATGTAAATATATGAATGGATTTTGTCAGGTCTTTGACACATGAAGTGAGGTATTACCATAATGTGTAGATGTGATGAGCCACCAGTGTGCATGTAATTTCATGTTTATGCTTTTATGTTTTTTTTTTGGATAACAGAGGAAAATAAAACCAAAAACAACACCTAGCTACAGATCCATCTAGGAACAACACATCCCTTAATATCCTTGGACAGGAACGGGAGGCAAACATAGGGAGGAACGTCAAATAATGATGTTTCCCAACCAAGCAAAAGGGCCTCACCAGCCAAACAGTCGGCAACAGAATTACCCTCTCTAAAGGAATGAGAAAGCTTTATCTCCCACGGATTTCTCAACAGGATCCGAATCCTATTAACCAGAGAAGACCATGGACTGTGAGCCACACTGCCTTTAGTAACGAGTTGGATGACAGAAAGAGAATCACATTCCACCCAAAGCTTAGGGAACCTCCTGCTCCAAGCGAGATCCAGCCCAACAAACAGACCCCATAGTTCAGCTAGAAAAGAATTGCCACAGCCCAGGAATTTAGAGAAGCCCAAAAGCCAAGCACCTTCGCTGTCTCTGAACACTCCACCACAACCCATCTTTTTGGAATCTTGAGTGCAAGCACTGTCCGTGTTCAGCTTAATCCAAAGAGGTTCCGGTGGGCACCATTTGACCAGAATCTCCTCCTTCTGGTTCGGATGGATTCCCGCTTTGCGGAGAGTAGAATCAGCATAATCCATGTTGGAGACAAAAAGACTAGCACGGCTACTGATCCCAAATTGGCTAGAAGAGGTACCCCTAAAAATAAGGTTATTACGCTCTTGCCAGATGAGCCAACAGGTGACCCCAAACAGTTTAGGCCAGCAAGCGACTCTGTTTTTTATCCCGGAAAAGGAGAGATTAGACATCATCCAGTCAAGAAAAGAATGGTGATAGCTGCTACGATAGAAATAAGTGGCTCCGTGTTGCACCCAAATGGGCCTCACCTAAAGGCAGTCCATAAAAATATGGAAATTATCTTCATTCAGACTCCCACATCTAGGGCACACATTGGAAGAGGATAAACCACACTTGAACCTGTTGGAGTTATTCAAGAGCTTGTCACCAAGTAAGAGCCAAAGGAACATTCGCACTTTATTGGCCCCCTCCCAATTCCAAGCTAGTTTCCAAACAAACCCATCAGCAATAGGAGAAGGAGGATGAAGAAGCTTGTAGGCTGAGCTAACATGAAAGCTCCCATTCTTAGAGAGATCCCAGATGACCCTATCAAGGTCGTTGTCGGGCTGAGGAGGCAATAGCCAGCAATGATATCAAGGACCTGCGTAGGGAGTAGATGCTGAAACTTACCCTAATCCCAAGACCCCGAATTAGTAGAAGCATCCGCCACCTTCCAATCCATGAAGTCGTCGGGGATGGGAGCACAAGCCTTGGATTCCAGCAAAGCTAAGTTAGGAAGCCATCGATCAGTCCAAAACTTAGTATTAATCCCATCACCGATGAGGATTCTAGAACCGGCCTGAATATCCCCCCAAGACTTTGTAATACCCCTCCACAAATTCGACACATTACTTCTAATTGAGAGGAAAGTAATGAGGTCCTCACCAACCCCGTATTTGTTCCTTAGCACATGAACCCATAACGCATCCGAGTTGGTTAGTAACCCATGGCCAAGTTTCATCACAAAGGCCTTGTTGAAAGAACACAGGGACCTCAGATTCAGACCCCCTTCCTCCTTGGGAGAGCATAACTTTTCCCAATTAACAAGATGCACCCTCCTACGGGAAGCCGAAGATCCCCAAACAAAACTTCTCGTGTGTTTTTCCAAGTCATGGCAGATTAAGGCAGGGAGCACCGAAGTTTGCATGGAGTAGGTGGGAAGAGCCGTCAAGACCAAAGAGGCTAAAGTGACTCTACCAGCTAGCGAGAGCATTCCAGGAATTGAGCCTGCTACTCACCCTTCCAAAATATGAGAAAAAAAGCTTCTAGATACCCTACCATGATGCATATGAATACCTAGGTACTTTCCAAGGTTCCTTGTGACTATGAACCCGAGAACATTACAGATCTCTTCCCTTCTACCATTGCAGACATTTCTTGAAAAAAATACTCTAGTTTTTTCATCGCTCACCTTCTGATCAGATGCATCACAGAAGCTGTGAATAATATGAGAAATATTGGAGGCCTGGTCGTAGGAGGCTTATGAAAAAAGCAAAATATCATCTGCAAAAAATAAATGAGAAATAGGAGGACCTCTCTTACCAAGAGCAATCGGCTTCCAACTGCCAGCTTGTGAGGCTGAATTAATTAGATGACCTACTCTTTCCACACACAAAACAAAAAGGTATGGAGATAAGGGGTCCCCTTGCCTAATGCCTTTGGAAAGTTTAAAGTCACCAGTTGTATTGCCGTTCCAGAGCAGGTTCATTGTGGAGGAAGAGACACAACTATCAATCAGCCTGATCAGGATATCAGGAAGGCCCAAATCAATGAGAGTATCATGAATAAACTGCCAATTAAGGCGATCGTAAGCCTTCTCAAGATCCAGCTTAATGGCCATCCACCCCTTGGCACATTTCCTCTTCTTCATTGAATGAACAACTTCCTGGGCAATAATTACATTATCAGAACCATGCCTACCCGAGATAAAGCTACACTGGTTTGGGGAAATCCAAGAAGGCATAAAATCTTTGAGGCGATTAGCTAACAACTTGGTAAGAATCTTGTAGGAAACGTTGCACAAGCTAATAAGACGGAAATTCGAAATGGAGTCAGGGCATTCTGTTTTTGGAATAAAGCAAATGAGGGTTTGGTTAACCTCCTCAATGCGGTTCGGATCCGAGAAAAATGATCTGATAAGCGTGCAAATGGAATCCCTGACAGATTTCCACTGAGTTTGCAAGAAAAGTGCATGAATACCGTCCGAGCTCGGGGCCTTTAGCTTGCCCATGCTGAAAACCACCCTTCTAATCTCAATGTCATCAGGAACCAAGCTCAAAGACAAATTGACGTGTGGCTCAATCGTAGGAAACATGTTACTTAACGGGAAAGCCCGTCTAACACCAATGTCCTCAGCATATAAGCTAATGAAATAAGAAGTCGCTAGGTTAATAAGCTCCTCCGCGTCACTCACCCAACACCCTTCAATATTTTTTAGAGCTAGGATTTTATTTATACGCCTCCTAGAAATCGTAGATGCATGGAAGAACTTGGTATTTTTATCCCCATACTTCAACCAGTTACATCTGGACCTTTGGTACCAGACTAGCTCATCCTAAATAAGAATAACTTCAAGATCTCTCCAAAGTTTCTTCTGAAGGGAAAGCAAGCTATCGGTCGGACAGATTTGCAAATGATGGTCTAATCCCCTAAGACGAGCATAAAGCCTATTCTTTTCTCTCGTCTTGGCTGTGAAAATATTACGATGCCAATCGGAAACATTATGCTCAAAAGTGCTCCTAGTTTGGTTCCAGCCGACATTTGCCTCCCAACAACTGCTAACAATATTACCAAAGTCTTCCGATAGTAACCACCCCCCGCAAGAAACCGAAAGGGCTTAGAAAGCCTAGGCACCAAAGACTGAGGCTTGTTGACCAGAAGCATCGGTCTATGGTCAGAGCAGAAAAATGGCAAATGAGTAAGAATGCTATTGGGCCAAGCCAGGTTCCAAGACTCATTGGCACACGACCTGTCGAGACGCTCCTGGAGATGACCCCTCCTCCAAGTAAAAGAGGGGCCCTTGAAACCGATATCACTGAGGATACAAGAAAGGAGACATTGTTTGAAATCTAGAACACTCCTCCAGCAAATATCACTGCCCCCCACCTTCTCTGCAGATGCTAATACCGTGTTAAAGTCCCCAATAATGTTCCAAGGATCATTGTTCAGGGGGCACAGATCATCAAGATCAGACCAAAGACTTCGACGCTCCATAGCACTTGGACAGTCACTTCATTGTCGTCCCAAAGTAGCCAAATACCGCCAGACAGCCCCAAAGCATCCTGAATAAAAAACTGAGAAAAACCAAAATTCTTGGCTAGGGTACGAGCCTTATCACCCTTAGCCTTGGTTTCTAATAAGGCCAGGACCGTAATGCTGAATTTAAATTTAAGATCACGAATTAATGGAGGTAAGAATTTCTTGCCAACCCCTATGATATTCCATGAGCAAAAAATCATTAAAAAACTAAAACTACAAAAAGGACAGAAACACGTTGGGAAAGGCCCAACAAACAAAATTAGGGAAAAGAGACCCCTCCTAAGCCTGAGGGTCCCTGAACATCAGTCACAACTTCCTGCACTTGGGGAACAGAGATGGGTGGAGATAGCGCCTTTGAAGCCTCGAGATTGTGACCCACCTGAGCCTCCTTACCCTTATTTCCCATTGACTTTCCCTGCTTAGCTTGGTTCTCTAACACCAAAATGGTGTTAGTTTTAGCTACCCCCTTTCTGCTTTGTCCAGCATTACCACGTAAAGAGGGTTACATGGTGGAAGGGCCCACCACAACAGGAACAAACCTTTTGCTCCCAATGGCAGACTTTTTGCCTTTTAACCGTACCAAAGGCTGAGAGGAACCCTGCACACCACTTGACGCTCGAGGAAAGGTCAACTTAGCCGAGAAAGTGGGCACCTTCTTCCCTCCAGCGCTCTTGCTCAGAAGAGCAGGTACCTGGATAGACGATTTGTCTGGAAAAGATCCAAACCTAGTAACCTCTGACACCTTCTGCATGTCGACGGTATTGGGGGAACTTCCACACTGACCATCGGGATTCGTACCAGGAAAACTTCCCACCGGCCCGTCCTTTGGCCTGACCGGAACCGCCTTTGACCGCTTGCTTCCTGCCAGTTTCTAGATAACCATCCACGGCCCGAAGGCTTCGTCCGTCTTGTTGGTTTTCTAGATCGAAGTGGACTTCCCCACGTTGGAACTAGAGAGAGAAACCGACGAAGATGGACCCTGGACAACATCTACCCCAGACCCTTGTATGGGAATACCTTTTACACAGGCCTCCTTCTTATGGCCAAACTGGCCACAGGAGAAACAAACTCGATGCAAGCCTTCGTAGCCCACCATGAACACTCTAGTGCCAATGTTAAACTTTGAAACCAGGCTCTTACTCAGGTCGAGTTCAACACAGATTCGAGCGAATCTTGCTTTATCAGTAACTTCCCCAACCACTCCATCCGATGTTCTGAGAGAACTAATATCCACCTTCAAAGTCTTACCGAAGAAGTCCCTTATTCTACTAAGGTGATGGGAAGAATAAAGTTCAATCGGTAAGCCAGGAATTCTGAGCCACACTGCCTGTTTCCTCACCGTTTCATCATAAGGGTCGAACATGGGCCGCCACCTCTGTACCACCACGTAGTGACCGAAAACAATCCAAGGGCCTTCTTGCAAAACTCGGACGTAGTCCCTTTGATCCTGAAATTTGATCAGGAGAAACCCGTTGTCCAAAACAATGAATTCGAAAGTCCCCACAAGATTCCACAAACCCTGGAGTCTGGCCATGAGAAACATGGAGCCCACTCGCTTACCCAAAAGTTTGATAATGAGTGAATGGCTCCAATTCTTACAATCTTCTAGGTACATCTCCTTAGAGAGGTGGTAAGTAGGACAAAGAGGATCATCCTCACCAGTAGCACCCAAATCCTCAAAGAGGAAGGTACTCTCTTCCTCCAGATTCTGAGTCAACCAACTATCGTCCGTTGAGTCAGAAGGCAAAACACCGCCATTAAGGTGCAGTAACTTATCCTTATAGGATACTGTCTTCCTTTCCTTCAAAACTGCAGGAGGAAGCTCCTCAACGACAGTTAAGATCTCCTCTCCTAAGCTAGGCAGAGCCTGCCCACCCAAACATTGGGCCGAAGTTCGTCCCTCCACAACCCCTAGAGGACCCGGCACACTCCGCTCCAAAAGAACATCTTCCTCCACTGGCCCCAAACCATCCTCCCCCACCCTCCTAAGCAACTTCTCTGGCTTCTCTGACGAGAACTTCCTATGCGGCATCCTCCCCCCTATGCTTTTATGTTAAGGCTGAAAAATAATTTGGGAGAAATAAAGAGAGAGCATGTTCCCATTATCCTAAATATTTCATTAGTTAGGTAGCTCTACAATTTTATGTCTTTGGTGTCTAAAGTTAATATTTCATTAGGGAATATACGCAACAATATTATATCAACTAATGGATGCGAGACATTTACAAAAGAGTCAAACTCTATATGAGTTTTTTTGCAATAAACAGTACATTTTAAATGATTATTAGGAAAGTGACCTATATAACATGTATGTACGAAAAAAGAAAATTATTTGCAAAAAGGAGCAAGACAAATACTTATGAGATTATTAACGATTTATACAATTAATTATATTAGACTTGACTCTCTAAAAGTCTCCAATGGAATCGCCGGTTATCGCAATCGAATCATGATGGGACAATGAAACATCAAAAATAACGAAATTGAATTGGCATCCATGTTTATTTGGGGAAAAAACTGAAAAAGAATCATTTTATAGAAGGAAACTAATATTTGAAAACAAAGCGGATTTGGGAATCTATTAATTAAGGAATATATTGGCACCATATGTCATCCCTTTTAAAATGGTAACTCATATATTAATTTTAAAAATCATTAATAATATTAAAAATATTTGGTTTACCCTAAAGAACCAAAATAAAATAATTACTTAAAAATTTACTTACAAAAATTTATTTTTGGGCTTCATCGAGAAATCCTACTCCGATATATCCCTTGATGTAGTATAAAACTCAAAGTTAAGTCATTATTTAGAAAATGCATCTAGATTTGTTGATTTTAGAAAAATATTCTATTTTTCTTAATTTAATTTGATTTAATTTTAAAATTTTATATCATTAGGGAATTGCAATCAGAATAAACTTAATAAAAAAACAACATAATTGACAAGTTATTGATTCTAAAACCTAAACCCTAACAAAACAATAATTAAAAATATACTAGACCATTCAATTGTCACAACTAAGATATTCCAAGTAAAAGTCACAAGATTCATAAGCTGTCGCGACTCGATTAATCCCTTTTATTATTAAGAAAAAGAAAGTGAATTTTTATTTTTATTTTTAATAAAATAAAACACATACAACAATATAAAAAATTCATAATTTATCAACATGTGAAATAAAATAGATAAAGAAAAGACAATAAGCATAAATCCACACACAAAAATATTAACTAAAAAATAAAATAAATAAACGTACCTTTAATAATACGATACTTCATACGTGAAGCCGATTTGGGAAGAGCCATTACAATTCTAAAAAAAAAAAAAAAAATATGACACAGACTATATACTTAGTATTAAGCCCCAAATGTTGAAGCTTAATTTTTGGATGAGCTATAGGGTGCCAAAACACATAAGGAGAGATTTCTAGGTGGGGTAAGACATCTCCGATGTGAAACTTCAAGATGAAGGAGCAAAATTAGGATTTCAAATGAGATAGGTCAAGTCACGGTCTACCTTAAATAGGCTACTCCAAGTAAGGAAGGGTATTCGTGGTTTGGATTGGATCGGATCCAATCCTTTCGGTTTGAGTATGTAATCATTTATTTGTTTTGGAATTTTTTTCAAATCCGATCCGATCCAATCCAGTTCTTTTTTCGGTTTGGATTGTATTGGATCAGTTTTCAGTTTTTTGAAAAATTCTAAAATTTATTTTATGATTATTGTGCAAAAACATCTTTGGTATATATTGGCTTTGTAAAAAAAAAAATTTAAATACAGAAGCATCAGTAAACTATAATATAGTTTTTTTTTTGGACAATGAGATATGAAGCTCTAGATAGATAAAATTTTAATGAGATGTGACTAGGTTTTTTCTTGAGTTTAGTTGATGGGTTAATGGATCTTGGGTTTAAATTTTTTTTGGTTATGATTGGGGAAAGACCCAAGTAGGTAGAGGGAAATTAATATATTGGATCGGTTTGGATTGGATCGGTTTTCATCTATCAATCCGAAAACCGATCCAATCCAATTGAAGTTTGCGATTTTTTTTCGGTTTTCGATTTTCGCGGTTATCGATTTTTTGGTTCGGTTACCGCGGTTTGAATCGGTTTGGATCGGTTGATGAACACCCCTAACGCCAAGGTTGTTGAATCGCAATATATATTGTGTATTGTTTGGTCGATTTTTTGTATCATGTATTGTGAATCGTAAGATACAGAAATATAATAAAAAATAATTTAAAAATATATAATATAATTAATATCATATAAATCCAAATTCCAAAAAGGATTCATTAGAAAAATACATAAATAATTAAAGTGAAAATCAGTTGTTATTCATCTATCAATCATTAAGACTAATATTATCACTACTATTACTATCAACATCTATCAATGACATAACATAACTAATTCATCATCCTCTTCCAAAAAGAATCCTTTTAGGTTATTTTTAATTTAAATTGCAAATCAAATCTTTATTTCTTTTTTTATTAAAAATTACAAATTTTGATTTAATTTTTATTTCATATGACACATATATCGTATCGTAAGATACAGTATCGTATCATTTGATACAAATTCTTTTCTGATACACCCCACGATACGTAGCACTGGGCTTGTGAAGTATATTGTATCGTGTCATGTATCGTAAGATACTGATAACTATGGGCTAGGCCCATGTAAAATATTTTAAGCCTGAGTTGACTTACTAGCCTGATACAAACTAAGTTACAAGATTAACCTGACTTGTTTTTAAAAAATATAATGCTTGACCTAGTTGTTAAGCCTTCAAAACTAGCATATTGCACTATATAAATTATGTATTATGCTTTATTTTTTTATTTTTTTTTGATAACATATTATGCTTTATTTGTATGGAGAAGGATATACTTACCATAAAAAAATACAATCAACTTAATCACCGATGATTTCCGTCAATCTAACGGTTA